AGTTGAACTTGCATATGAGCAGTTGATGGTCTGTTCCACAATCAGCTCCTGGCCTGGTTTTGACTGAAGATACTGAGCTTTTCCATCGCCTTTTGCCACAGATGTAGTCAATCTGATTCCTGTGTGTTCCATCTGGTGAAGCCCACATGTAGAGCTGCCGTTTGTGTTGTTGAAAAAAGGTGTTTGCAATGAACAAGTCATTGGTCTTGCAAAACACTACCATGAGAGTTCCAGCATTATTTCTGTCACCAAGGCCAAATTTTCCAACTATTGGTGATTCTTCTTTGTTTCCAACAAATGTCTACCTTGTGCTTATTCCACTAATGTACTGTGAAAATAGATAACTTATAAGTTATCTTTGATTTCATAGGGTCACAAGCATAGATGAATTTTGCCTCAGGATGGAATAAGCCTAAAGTCTCACCCATATTTGATTTAGGTGATTCAGAAGATGAGACTTTGGACTTGGAGTTGATTTAAGACTTTTGGGATCATTGTACCATGGAAACAGATAACTTGTATTCTGTATTTTACAGGTTCACAGAGGAAGAGAAATTTTGCCCCAGGATACACCTAAAGTTTCACCCATATTTGATTTAGATGATTCAGAAGATGAAATGTTGGACTTGGAGTTAACACCTTTGGGATGATATGATGGGGTGACATGGGAGAAACATGTGGTAGTCTGCTCTCCTAAAGATTATATATAGCCTTGAAACCCTAGGGTGAATTTCTACTGTGCCCTATAGGGTTCTATGAGTCAGAATTGACTTGACAGCAGTGGGTTTTGGTTTTAGTGATTGGGTGAATGTGTTTTGCATGCAGCAAGGACATGAATTTTGTGGGGCAAAAGGGTGGAAAGTTATGGATTGAATTGTGTCCCTCAAAAAATATGTGTTGTTAAAAACATTATTCTACATCCTACTTTGGCAAGTAGCGACTGGGATCTTAAAAGCTTGAAAGCAGCCATGTAGATGCAACAATGGGTCTCTCCTCATCCAGAGCAAAGAAAAATGAAGAAAACCAAAGATGCATGGAAACAATTAGTCCAAGGGACTGGTACACCATGTGATCCTCAGCCTATGTGGCTATGAGACCTGAAGAACTAGATGGTGCCCAGCTACCACTGTCAACACTTGGAGGAGATCTACATAGGAGATCCTGGATAGAGTGGGAGAACAATGTGGAACAAAACTCAAAATCATTTGGAGAAAAAAAAAAAAGGGGGAGAACCAGGTTTGCTGGTCCAATAGAGCTTGGTGGAACCCCTGAGACTATGGCCCTTAGCTGCCTTTCAGGTCTGGAAGTGAACCCACTCCTGAGGCTTCCAGCCAAAGAAAGGACAGGCACATGAGCTGAACCTTTACATTAGGTAGATACACTCCTTGGAGAGATCAATCATGGGAGAATAGAAGGGCACAGGGAGATACCTGGGGGGGGGGGCAGGAGTGCATGGGAGGAAAGGACACAGGGAAGTGGTAGCTATGAGGAGGAAGTGATAACTGAACAGGAAGTGGGAAAAAAGCTGTTTCATTGTGGGAAATTGCAGTCAATGTCATGGGACACAGTGCATGTGAACTGCTGTATGGAAAATGAATTTGCTGTGTAAACTTTCACCCAAATCACAATAAAAAAAAAAAAAGTGTTGTAAATCCTAATGTGCCTGTGAATAAGGAGCTCTGGTGGCATAGTGGGTAAGGTATTCAGCTGCTGACCAGAAGGTCTGTGGTTTGGCCCCACCAGCTGCTCCATGGAAGGAAGATGAGAATGTCTACTTCCGTAAAGATTTATAGCCTTGGAAACCCAATGGGGGAGTAGTTATGAGCCAGAATGGATGGCAGTGGGTTTATGCCTGTGGTTATAATCCCATTTGGGAATGGCATGCCTTTGTTATGTTAACAAGATAGCATTAGTGTAGGGTGTATCTTGAGTCAATCTCTTTTGAGAGATAAAGGAGATTAAATGCAAATTAGCAAGCAGAGATTCAGGAAGAGAGATGCCAAGTCCCATGAAGATCGTCCAGAAGCAGAAGCTCTCTGTGTCCATAGTATAAAGTACAGATTGCCTGGTCCAAAAATACAAGACCTTCCAAGATTTGGACATTGCTGGTCTTTAAAAGATTTTTTCCCTTCAGCCAGAGTATGAGCTCTAAACCTCTAACCGAGATTAACTACAAAGGATGTCTAGAAGATGCTATATATTTCTTGGCACATGTTGTTCCCACAACCTGGATAACTTGCCTATCAACCTCCTTCTCGGACTTCCGAGGGAACTCCCACTTCTCCTTTTGGGAGTCAAAAGTCACTTCTTCCAGATATCCTTCCAGACACTTCTGAGAATAAAGCGCTTTGTTTCTTCTGCACCAACAGCGCCTCATTTTCTATGTGCCATGCACGGTCTTCTACACACTGATGATGATGAATTACCCTCGAGTTGTTTCCCCAGTCTTCCTTCAGCAGAGTGGCTGGCGGGTTTGAACCGCCAGCCTTCTGGTTAGCAGTTAAAATGCCTTAGGCCCTACGCCACCAGAGCTCCCTTCTATACACTATAATTTGTTTATACCAAATCTCAGAACTGACTCCATGGAAACAAACAATATCCCAGCCGAGATAGATCAAGAAAAGAACTCTGCTGGGGTAGTACCTAAGGCATTTGACTGCTAACCAGAAGGTTGATGGTTCAAACCCACAAGCCATTCCATGTTAAGATAGACTGGGCAATCTACTTCCGTAAAGATTTACTGCCTTGAAACCCAAAGGAGGTCGCTATGAGTCGGAATGGACTGATTGGCAGGTAGATCGAAAGACCCTGGACAGCAGGGAATATTCGCTTCTGCGTTCATCCAGCCTGTCACACAGTTTGCCCTAGGTAAGTATTTGTTGCATTAACACTTCTCACATTCCAGGGGGATTTGAATCTATGGGTTTAACGGGTGCGTTCCCAAGCTTCTCTGCCTGCGTGGCAAGGAGTTTTAAACCATCAACCGTCGTGATTGGCTCCAGGTGTAGGGGTGTGTTGGTGCTTGCGGCGCCGAGGAAGTGCGCAGGCGCTCAGGTCCGGCGCGCGCAGGCGCGAGAAAGGCGCAGCTCTAGGTCCGGTCTAGGGTGTCCGAGCTGCGGGCGAGAGGAGTGGCCGCAACTGCTTGGTGAGTCTCCAGGAGTGGGGCTGAAGGAGCAGGCCTGGGTGAAGGTTGTGAGTTCAGCCCGGAGGAGGAGGAATGTATCGTTACGTTTGGAAAATTAGTGGGGTCGGCCTTGAGCGGGCAGGGGGTGTTCTGGCCCTGATTCGGCAGGCCTGGCCCGGAGCTGGGACGCGAGGCGTCGGGACACCATCGACCAGCCGGCGGAAGAAGGAAGATGGGATGGTGGTTCCCTAGACCTCGAAACACAGGGATGAACTACCCCAAACGTTGTTGCTGTGATCAGGAATGATAGACTCTATGGTGATCATGGTGATCGGATAGTTTTGAATTAGTTGTTTGAAGGACTGAGGGGTTCATGGCATTGGTGAGTCTGTGCCCTTTAGGAAAGTCCATCTTTACCTTGAGGTTTTAGTGCCTACGCGTGAAGAAAAAAGTAAGGGACGAAGGAACTGTTTCTGTTCGAGGTTGGAGTAGTGGGGGAAAAAAGGGTGCTGTAAATGCTGTTTCACCTTGTCCTTTTTTTTAATTTTCGCCTTCAGTCATTAGTCGCCTTAGTGTTTTGGGGCATCATTTGGAATTACAGAAATTGCAGATGAGGGTGGAGAAAACCGAAAGATGAAGGTTGGGGAAGGAAGATGAGAAGAGAGTTTTCGTTTTGCTTTTTGCTATTTGTCACGGGGGGGAGGAGAGACTGGAAGAGGGGATTTTGGATGCTAGAAGCTTCTGACAGTGTTTTCTCATCATTGTGAAAATAGTATGTGTGATGCACTGAGTTTCTTGGTTGCAGACATTTCAAGAATTGAAAGAGGATATTACTCCATCTGCCATGGTGCCTTGAAATTGGTTTTCAGATGCCGCAGTAAAATACTAACAGCTCAGACACGACCAGATAGAAATGATTCTTCCATTCTCTTACCCTGAAAAATAACCAGATTTGGGATTCATGAGAGTTTAATCCCAAATTATTATTATTATTTTAATTTTTATTTCGATATGGGTGAAAGTTTACAGAGCAAATTCATTTTCCATACAGCAGTTCATACACATTTTGTTTCATGAATCCTAAAATAAAATACCGAATAACAAAAAAAGTTTTTTTTTAAATAAATGGTAATACCGAGGTATCCAATGATCACTTGTCGTTTGGCCTTTTGGCAAAAGCTAATGAGAAAACACATTTATTGTATAATTTTTTGTATAAATATTAGGAGAAACACTTCACAATGCCTGTGACAGGTCATGTGAAAGTAATTAAAATGATCATATAATTTAGCCTGAAGCTTAAATATTTATCAGTCTTGTTAGTGTTTTTTTGTTTGTTTTTAGGTTCTTGTGGTATGTGGCTATGTCATTATTTTCCTAACAGTATCACACACTTCTATAATCCGTAGAATTTCTCTTTGTATCTTAAGTGTTTGTTTTTTAACTCTGAAAGAGCATCGGTAACAGCTTACTTAAAGGTCAGATCTTTTCTAATCATGCAGAACACAACCTAGAACTTGTGGGATTATTTCACTTCATATTTTAGTAGACTGTTTTAAACATTATTCCAAAGTGATAATTCTGAAATCATAGTTTTGATGTCTTTTATACCATTTTCTAATACATATTAATAAACACACAGCTATGAAAGTGTTCTTAACACTGAAATGATACCATGTTTTTGCTCTGCACTTTGGAAAACATTGCTGCAGGGTATGCTGTTTGAGGCTTAGTCTACTCTTTTTTTTTTTTTTTTTTTAAATTATTTTGGTAAGATGTGTGTGTGTCTGTGTATATTTACCATGTTGTGCAAACATTACTACTATCCACTTCTAAATTTTTTTTCATTATTATTAATAGCAATTCAGTATCCCTTAAGCAGTAGTTGACCATTTCCACCTTCTACCCACCTCTGGTAATCATTAATGAACTTAAGTCTCAAAGTATTTGCCTATTCTAGATATTTCATATAAGTGGGATCATACCATATGTGTTCTTTTGTATCTGACTTATTTCATTTAGCGTGATATTTTCAATGTTTATCCACATCACAGCATCGATCAGAACTTCATTGCTCTTTATGGCTGAATAATATTCCACTGTATGGATGGTTCTATATTTTGTTTATCCATTCATCTGTTGATGGACAGTTGGATTGCTTCCTCCTTTTGGCTATTATGAATAATGCTGTAGTGAACGTTGGTGTACAAGTATCTGAGCCCTTCCTTTCAAGTCTCTGAAGTATATAGCTAGGAGTTTAGTGGCTGGACCATTTGGTAATTCTTTGTTTACCTTTCAGAGAAACTGCCAAGCTTTTTTCCACAGCAGCTGCATCATTTTACATTCCCAGCGGGAATAGATGAGGATTTCACTTTCTCTGCATTATGGCCAATAGTGTTACTTTCCATTTTTCTAATAGTAGCCATCCTTTTGTTGTTAGTTGCTGGAATTGGCTTTGACTCTTGAGGATCTTAAGTGTAACAGAATAAAATGTTACCCAGTCCTGTGCCATTTTCATGGTTATTGGTATGTTTGAATCCATTGTGGTGCTTACTGTGTAGTGCTTTCCAATTGAGGAGCCTCATTTTCTAGCACTATATTGGACAATATTCTGTGTGATCCATTAGGTTTTCATTGACTAATCTTCAGAGGTAGACTGCCAGGCCTATCTTCCTAGTCTGTCTTAGTCTGGAAGCTCTGCTGAAACATTTCCACTGTTGGTGACCCTGCTGGTACAATTACAAATTACCACAGTTGGACAAACTGACAGACTGCTGGTGCATAGCCTTCCTAGTGGGGTTGAAGTGGTTAATCTACTCATTTTTAAAATAAACTAAGATTGGACTACCTGAACTATAAGGCTTTTGGGCTTCAAAATTATGTGGGCCCTGTGATGGCATTTATTTTTTTGGCACAGTTCTAGCAAATGTGCTTATCTGTTTTCACCAGATGATGGTAGATTAGAATAGCAAAAGGGAAAAAAGAGGATGTTTGCTCTTTGACATTTTTGTGAAATCAGCTGCCTTTCGTTTTTTTCTTAGAATTAATCCTTTGGTTCCTATGACTCAAACATTCTGTAAATCCATTTTTTAGCTGTATTTGTACTCTGCATTTTATATATATGTTAACATTTATAATCTATGATGTTTGTATCCAAGGGTGCTGAAAATTTTATTCCAGTGCCATGTTTATTTCCCTATCTGTAAGTTGACAGAGTAGCAAATGATAAGATATAAAAATGATGTGGTGATGGTGGCCTCTGACCTCCTCTAACTTCACAAGGGGAAGGGAGAATCAAGATCAACAGCCCAAGGCTATAATGCCTTTGAGATAGTAGTCAGACATACCGCCTCTCTCCAACCTTTTTTTTAAAAAAAAACAATTCTGATACCAACCATCCCTTCCCTGGCATTCTACTTCTCTGCTGTTGTTATGTGCCGTAGTGTCAGACCCAACTCAAAACGACCCCTCTGGTTTCTGAGGTGATATCCTTCCTTCTGAGGAGTGGCTGGTGGGTTTGAACTCCCAGCCTTCTGGTTAGCAGTCAAGTGCCTTAGGCACTATGCTATCCTAGCTCCTACTTCTTTGCTGGGATGGATAATTTGTTGCAGTGACCACATAGAACTCATAGACATTACTCGTGGTTAGGGAGTTTATTAGGGAGGAAACAGGTTACAATTCAAGATCAGGAAAGACTGTAGGTACAGTTCTTCGGTCAGGACAGCCTCTTTTTCAGTCCTGCCTAGAGGCAGGCCTTTCTCGGACCCTTGTCCTTTCAGCCTGGTCTTTCTGCCTTGCTGGGGGCAAATGTTACAAAATCAGTAAGTACCTGCTACACCCCACTCCACCTGCAAGCCTCCTGCCTGAAGGCACTCAGCTTTCTCACTCCATGGCCTGGGAAGCCCACTATGCCATCTCTGGCTGGTCTTCTGGTTCTCCTGCCTCTGCTGCTGCTATTTCTCTGATGCCGCTTCTTACCATGTCCTGTGTTACAACTCCTTTCTCTGTCTCCTGTTTAGAAGATTGCCAGCCCGGGGGTGCTGGGTCCAAAGGATGGTCCCATTTCTGCTTCTTGTGGTGGTGAGGTACCCCTGTCTGCCTGTGGGATGGCTCTTTTAAGCCTAGCAGATGGCAAAATTGACCAATCACCTCCTTGGGGTTCCATACACTTTATTTGCATGGTCCCACAGCTACCAAAACCAAAAAACCAAGCTCACTGCCGTCGAGTTGGCTCCAACTCATAGCAACCCCTCCTTGGGTTACTGAGGCAACATCACTATGGAAGTAGATTGCCCAATCTTCCTTCTGCGGAATGGCTGGTAGGTTTGAGCCACCAGCCTTCTGGTTAGCAGTCAAGTGTTAGGCACTACACTAGCTACACACATCCGTTAATAATCAGGATGTGGAATATATGAAGTATGAATCTAGGAAAATGAGAAGTTGTCAAAAATGAAATGGAACACATAAAGATCAATATCCTAGTTACTGGTGAGCTGAAATGGACTGATATTGGCCATTTTGAATTGGATAATAATATAGTCTACTAGGCTGGGAATGACAAATGGAAAAGGAATGGCAGCACATTCATTGTCAAAAAGAACACCTCAAGATCTATTTTGAAGTACAGTGCTGTCAGTGATGGGATAATATTTGTATGCCTACAAGGAAGACTCGGAAGGAAGGTTGGGCGATCTACTTCCGTAGTGATACCACTTCGGAAACCCAAGGAGGGGTCACTATGAGTCGGGTCCAACTCGATGGCACATAACAACAACAAGGAAGACTAGTTAATACTACTACTGTTCAAGTTTATACACCAACCACTAAAGCCAAAGATGAAGAAATTGAAGAATTTTACCAACTTTGCAGTCTGAAATTGACCAAACATGCAATCAAGATGCATTGATAATTATTGGTGATTGGAAATGCAAAAGTTTGAAACAAAGAAGAATCTTTGGTAGTTGGAAGATATAGCCTTGGTGATGGAAAGGATGCCAGAGATTGCATGATAGAATTTTGCA